CATTTCGGGATATGAGACGTCACAATTCTCATGATGCAGATTTAACTGAACGAGTCATGTGGCTGTTCTCAATTTGCCTCGATAAAGACCTCACAAGAAACGATGCCCTTGCACGCTACTGCTGACAAAGATGCAATGAACCCCATTGCTTCAATCATGCGCGTGGCTCATATGGCTGGTCAAAAATGGGTACCGTTTGCCCTAGCTCTGAACAAATTTGAGCCACGCGCATATGGCTGTGGGTCAACACCGATGGGATCCCATTTTGGCTGGGATTGGTGAATGCACCCCCCATTTTAGGTTGCCTATTTCAGTGGTTGGATTGGGTCCCGTTCGCTGGGGGCTCACCGATTTGGGTTTTGAAAAGCCCATGGCCATGGGGCAAAGACCCGCGGCGGCTGACAGGCGCCGTGAGATCGATCCGCGCCGAGGAGCCCAAAGCATGTCCGACGTGGACCTGGTCCTGGTGCCCTGCCGCGGCTGCGTCCTGCCGGGAGGCGGGAGGCACGCTCTGGAGTTCAGAGGAGTGCTATGGCTCGGTTGTAAGCGAATCGACCTGATCTGACCTTCTGGTTTTCCCTTTTTGGTCTATTTTTAGTAGAGGTGCCAACAGGTTAACCTTTTATTTGCAGGTCCTTTGGGCAAGTGAGATGGCGTTTCATGGGGACGGAATTCAAATGGGTCCCAAGAAAGAACCGTCCTCGAAGCAGCCCTCCAAATGGGTCCCTGATTTGGGTCGTGTTCCATGGCAGCGAAGGGCTGTTTCATGTCCACCAGCGTGATCGAAATGAGGCTTACCCCTGGCAATCTAGGGGTCCGGGTGTGCGAAGCTGATCAAACCTCTCCACTACAGGGTTCTATCTTTATGCCTCAAAGGCGACTCAAACACAGGGATTTCCCTTTTTGGGGCAAATCAACCACCCTGGGAATCCCAACCGTGCTGCCATCGTATACAACATGACTGCACGAGCCAAGACTCCTGCAGCCTGGCTTGCCCCTATTCCTTTCCGGAGAGCTCTATTGACCTACGCCACTAGCACCTCTAAAGGTAATGCCAGGTGGCCTTTTTCGGTTTGGTGGGACGTAGATGGCACTTGCAGCTTGGTGCGAATCATGTACCAGTGCCATCTCTTTTCCCAAAGGGACACCCATGGTATCATGCCAGGCACCCAATCCAAAACGCTGAGGCCTCAAGCCGTTGCTCGTGGAGCTGCGTGAGGCTGGAGTAGCCAAGGACGGCTGTGGCTTCCGTGTCCGAGTCGGCATCCGATGCAACCACCTCATGTTGGCACGAAGCCAGCGTTCTGTGTGTTTTGCGTGTTAAGTTCTGCAGCATGCGGAGTACTTGTCACAAGACTTTTCGCACCCATGCGGCCGTACAAACAAGACGAAGCGGAAAAAAGTCGCCAACCAGTGGGGCTGCCTGTTGTCTCTCCAGTCCAAAGATGTTGGAGCCCTGAGATGCACCGAAGCTGCGGGCCCCTTCCGAGTGCCTTTGTCAAGCCAAGTTGCAGGGACTGTCCAATAACGATCTCAGTGAAGCTCTTTGATTGAATAATCCAGTCTGGTGCCAGAAGTAGGGAATGTGGGAATGCACCGGAAGGAGACTCCCTGAATTAAAGCAATCCACAAGTTGGACGGTTTTCGTGGGGTCATTTCATTTCTCATTCTCTGAGCAGCAAGCAAGTCCTTATGCTTCTGCCTGCCAGCTGAGAGGGGCAACTAATGGCAGCCTGGGGCTTGCGCAGGAGGATTTGGGCGGCCATGCGCCCAATTCGCCGTATGATGCCGCACGCCTCAACATGAAGTGCGGGATCCACTGTTTCACACAATTCCTAAACCACTTAGAGGAGAACACAATTTTGGGGCAGCCATGAGGGGGAGCCTTTGATACTGTCCATGCATTCAGGGCATGCTCAAGCAGTGTAGTTACATGCTTGCCCGGAAGCAACCTTCCAAGGATGGCGAAGAGACGCATTTGGGTGTGTTCCGCTTGCCGACAGAAGGCTCGCTGCATAGGCAGGCAGACATCCGTGTGTCGCCATTGACTACATCTCTAGTGTTGCACGCCTTTCTGGGTTGCACCGCATACGGGGAGTTGGTACGTGTTTTGGTTGTTTAACACGGAAAGCACGAGATGAAGGATAGAAAGGAGCAGTCCCATCCAGAAATCTGTGCGGACATCCGCGCCTTTGATTCTTTGCCACGGATTCTGCGAAGATCCGTGTACCATGTGCGGTTTTTGTAAGTGATGTCCACCAGCTCACCACTCAGCACATCCCACCCAGAGACCAGGCGCATGGACCTCATCCTCTCGCGCCGCGAGCATCTTCCCTTGGTGCTGCTGAACTGGACGGGCTCAGGCCTCTTCCTGCGAGAGCTGCATCGCTTGGCCAGCTACAAAGGCGGGAGCTGTTCGAAAGCCCCATGACTCGGGGGACGGTTCTCCAACGGGATCCTGAAAACGGGGTGGTGTCCTTTTGGTTTCCCTTTACCATCCAAAAGGGGGCGCACCACCTTGAGAAACCCCCATATGCGTATATTAGAAAGCACAGAAGCCCACTTGAGCAGGTTGCAACCATGGCCGTCCACCAACCTTTGTCGTCTCAAATGTAACCATGGTTGGGACGTGGGGCGAGCCAGCCATTTTTCAGCAGACTTACCTTGCTGGTTCTCGAGATGACCCCGTAAACCATCCAACTTGTGGTTTCCTTTGAGGGTATTTATGGCATCCCCTTCCGGATCATTCCCAAAACCTCTGTGAAATTCCCTACTGTGAACGTCGACTCTTCGATCGCTGCGTGGGCAAGGGCTGTGGGGGGAAAGGCTTCCCTAGGAACTCGCTAGGTCCCCCAGTGGTGCCCTCTTACCTTTTTTTGGGGAGGGTTCCACTAATAGACAGAAACAAATTGGGTACCCTTATTCTAACCTCTCTACTGGAGGACCTAGCCAGGGTTTCAAGGATACCCTCAAACAGCCACATCGCAGGCTTCAAGATCAGCTCCACACAGCTGCTGGCCAGGGATGCGGCTGGCCACATGGTGGAGGCCCTTGCCCACGGTTTGCGCCGAGTTTGGTTTTGGTTTGTAGGCGAAGGACGGCTAGAAACCCAGGGGTGACTGAGGTAACAAAACAAACCCCTGGGTTGAACGTCCTTCGCAAGCCAAGCAATGAAGTCAAGTGGCGATCAGCAGAACTGACTGAAGGAGCCACTGCCATGCCAAGCCTTGGTTGACAGCGGTTGAACTAGGCAGATGGCATGTTCCACGGTTTGGAGCTCGCAGGGGGGTTGATTTCCCTGGTTCGGTTGAAACCTCTGCTATGGGGCCACTCAATGCAGATTGAACTTCAAGACACACGCGCATACACACCCACAATATATATATATATATGTAATATGTGTATATTTATTTATATAATATATATATATATTGTTTAGGTCACACTGGGGCTGAGTTGGGCTTGCTCAGCCCCCTCCAGGTACCCGTCACTGAGGAGGCCGACGTCTTCGAGGCACTGGGCCTGGTCCACCGACCCCCAGAGCAGCGTGAGCCACGCGGACGTTGGAAGTTCCGAAGTCGGCGGGCGGGGGGCCAGCCGAGAAGAATTCTCGCGCAATCCGCGGGCGAAAGCCGAAAAAACTTCGCAGATTGCCGTTCTGCAAAAGAGTGAGGGCCCTGACCATCTTTGCGGGGCTCTGTTTGGGCACGATTTTGTTTTTTCATGCTGCATCGAGAATGGGCAAACAATACTACTTTCGAATTACTCCGCATACGTCTGGCCTGCGCAGCGTGCTGCGCCTCCAGTTTTCTATGGATCTTGCTGAGAGTGCCAGAAGCCACAAGTCGACTTGCTGCTGAGGCTGGATGACAGCCTGATGCGCTTCGTTCAGTCCTGCAAGCCTGGGGCGCCAGCGCTGAAGCGCCAGAAGAGTGAGATGCTTGCATGCAACAATGAACTGGCTGCAACCTTGATTGACAGCTGTTGAAGTCTATGGATAAAACCACAAACACACACATGCATGCACACTGGTTTTTTCGTGTTGGTGGGAGGCTTTTCACTCATGACCAAACCGTGCACACGGATTGTTTTGCTGCTTGGCAGGAACTCTCCACGGAGCAGCTCGCAGATTGGCAGCCCGCAAATTGGCAGCCCGCAAATTGTCATTGAGGACGACTGAGCCGATGAGAGCTCGCGAGATTGCAGCGAGTTGCAAGCAGTTCAGATGCGAACCAACGACCTTCAGTGTTTGACTGGCAAGCGTGTGATTGGCTTGGTTGTACAAAGGCTCAGCTGTCGGAGCAACTTTCCAGCCGAAGGATATGGTGTCATAGCTATGGGTGCCTTTTGAAGGTTTGGTTTGGGCAAGAGAAAGGACAGCCACCTGCTTTGGGGGTCCAAATCCCTGTTTTGACACATACCCGTTTAGACCAGATCAAGCAGGATCCGCGTTGCTCTGAGGCTCACCAGTCCAATCACACGGGTCCAAAGAGACCATGGCCCCGCCAGCCTCAAATGAGGCCAAGGTGGCCAGGATTGCTGATCTGAGCTGCCGATGCAGTGACCGGACTTGCTGTGTAGTTCAAAGAGGCGGAGCTCATATCTCCTTGCTTTTGCTTGAAATACAGTACTGGCTTGTATCTCAATTGCTTCACCGGCAGACTCCGACTAATGGCAAAGGCGAGATGCGGAACAGACAGAGGAGGAAGCTTCCTGGCGATCGATTTCTGAGAAGCCAGCTGGCCCAGTGTCCTAGGCTTGCCAGTTGACAGCTGGGGAGTTAGTACGGGCTGGCAGAGGATGACTCCTCCCTGGGATGATCGCCCCCATACGAGACAAAGAGGCAGCGAAGGCGAGTCCGCGTAAACGGTTTGTGTTGCTCGCCTGGCGCCACAGGCATATGCTGTTGGCGCATCAAGTTGAAACAGCTCCGCACACCATAGGTGAGTACTCACGTGTTGCTGAACGTACCTGGAGAGAGGTTGACAGACTGCCTGCAGGAGCCTCGACCCAGGCAGGGCGGATGTTCTCGGTTTGGCATGCAGCACATTGGAAACGACTGGGTAGGGATCTGGCCATAGGTGTCCTTTCAGGGCAAATAGATGGCCCTGGTAGATGATTAACCCGGTAAACCAGGGCCATCTATTTTTCTACCAAAACAACCCAAAAAGGACACCTATGGATCTGGCGCTTTCTTGGCGAGGAGGCCATCGGTGGCAAACGGAGGCAGCACGCAACCGCTGTGGTGGCCTCAGAAGATGCTGCGGCACCTCACATGTGGCTGGAGGCTGGTACCACCTAACAAATGTCCACCAAAGGGGCCCCAGCGTAACGAATTCATACCCATGACATGGCCATGAATCTTAGTGGGAGCCGTCACTCAACATAGTTGGTTGGCATACTGTAAGTCAACCATAGTGTTCATTGATGATTGCTAGATGTGGAGCTTTTGCCCGAGCCGTTTTGTGTTTTACCCGAAACGCCACTCCTTGGTCACGCTGAGGTCCGAGGCAAAGGTGGAGGAGCCACGGCGAGAATTTCCAAGCGCCCACGGACCTGAAAGCCGGGAGTTCAAGAATCATCATGGAATCTTCGGGGGGGCTAGGGGGGGGCTATCCCTGGATAAGCCCAGGATAACCCAAGGATAAGCCCTTAATAAGTCCTTATGGGCTTAATAAGGGAGCTACGCCCCCCCTCCCCTAGCCCTAGGTTGGGGGTCCATGAAATTAGGAAATTTGCAACCATCCCCAACAAGAATTCGGCAGTCAAAGCGGCGGCGGTACTGCGGCCCAAAGAGCCAGAAGGTCAGCTGAAAATCTGAACACCTAGTTGGTGGTTTGTGAGGAACGCTCCCAACTAGAAATCAATGTGGGCTTCTTCCAAACATGATTCCTTACATGGGTTTGTCTCTACATGTGTTGTTTCCTTTTGGTTCCACTTTAGTTCAGTCCATCTCGAATGGTTCCGGCAGGTATTCAGCCCAAAGTCTCCGGACCAATAGCCGAGGTGTCTGTTTTTGGGTAGCTCACACGTGAAGCGTCTTAAAACCTCCCAGATTTACTGCGCACGATGGTCCGTAGGGGCCCCTGGAAATCAACTTACTTTTCTGCAGATTGATATGGAACCCCACACAAAGGGGTTCCACGAGAGAATTTCTCTACACAATGGTTCTCTGGGTTTATGTATGTGCGGGCTTTATTTTTATTTTATGTTTTCTAAAGTCATGTCCCAAGTTTCCCTTTACTGGGTGTTTGGTTCGGGGGGGTTGACCCGCTGGCTATTTTGGAAGCTACCCTCCCTACCAGGAAGCTGAATTTTCGTGCAGGGCAGACCTCGTTTCAACCAGGAGCTACAGCTGGCACAAGACCTCGCCAAATCCCAGGAGGAGATGCGGCGCATGTCCCGTCGCCTCTCACAGGCGGGTCACTGTCCTGAGGTGCCGTGCGTTGAGGTGTAAGGGGGGAATGGGAAGCCAGGATTCAGAGCCTGGTGTTTTGGGGGTACACCCTCCAAAGGAATCCCTCAATTTACTGATGTGGGGGAGGGATTAAAGCTGGTTGACTTGGGGGGTGTCCCAGTTTAGAGGAGATCCTATCTAGGAAGCACATCCAACAATCTATGCCAGGAATTGATGTGTGGGAACTTAATTGTGGTCCGTATGGGATCATTCCCACACTCCCTGCGAAGAAAATGAAGTACAAGCACTTGTAAGGAATGTGGAAACCCCTGTGGATTCCCTTCACAAAAAATATTCATGGCTATGTCCCCACAGGTTGCATCAGACCCTCAAGAATGTGTCACAGAACCAATGACCCCTCTTAGCTTTCTGCCCTGCTAACGCCCCGGATGCCCCTACCTGCCTCTCTAGCTCCAACCCCCCCCCCTACGGGTGAATGAACCCTCAGAATTGGCTTTTAGGGTCAAAACGCGGACCCACTCAGCCTTCCAAAATGGGTCCAAAAAGGCCATGGGCCATAATATGATATCCATTTTTTGATCCAAAGTGGCCATGATATGATCCATAATAGTATAATATGATCCATAATATGGTCGATTTGGGTAGTCAGAGTATGATCCAAAGTGGCCATCCAAACGGCCATGGGCTCGCTGAAAACATATACAGCCTCGGATCGATCCCAGGCGCTGGGCATGCCCGCTGAGACCGTGCAGGTCCTGGCCCCGGAGGTGGGGGATGCCTTGCTGGAGGACAAGAAGGCGGAGCTGAAGCAGAAGCAGGCGGCCACGCGCGCGCGCGCGAGTTTTTTTTTGTTTTGTTTTGGCTTTTTGTTCTTGCTTTTGTTGTGTTAGGGACCCATTTTTGATTGGTGTTTTTTTTGGTGTGGCGGGCGGGCGAAGTGGCGGTTTTGCCCGTTTTTGAGGCTCGGTGCCCACCCTTTCTGAGGTGGTTTTGCGAGGAAGCCAAAGGGACAACCATCCATCTTTGGGAGGCCCCAACAGTTTTAGCATTCAAGGGATGATCAACTCCCCAACGGAGAAAGGGAGCCATGAACATCGTGGGGCCCCTACCCAAGGTCTCCGAAAAGGTAATGCGACCCTGAAAAGGGAACTTGCACAGAAGGTAGCCAAGCCGCGAAGCAGCCTGTGCCGACCACAGGGCTACTGCTGCTGCTGCTGCTGCTGCTGCTGCTGCTGCTGCTGCTGCTGCTGCTGCTGCTGCTGCTTCGTTTTTGCTTCTTCTTTTTTTTGCTCCTTGTCCAGTATGAGGGCTGTCCAACGTAATTTATTGTGAATCTGCGTTCATCAAGAACATCATGACTTTTCTGGTCCCTTTCCCGGTCTCTTTTCACGTAGCTCTCTTCGATTGGTTCATGTCTGCCTGCTTCCGGTATGATGGTGAGGCCAAGATACAGGTTAGGGGTGAAGAGTCAACGCTGCAATAAGGATGGTGGGCCCTGTATCAGACGAGTTGCCCTCAAGGAGCCAATCAGACCATTCATGAGCAAGTATTGACAGTTGGTGCACGGAACCCTTTACCGGGTAAAATGCTACCTTCTCAACCATCTAACAAGGTTCATGCGGCCATGGGCAAAGGGAATCCAGACTCCACAAAAGCGATTTGGGCTCACCGAAATTTCGGACTTCTCTCATCTCATTTGGGCATTCTCAGCCTGACCATAGGTGTCCTTGTTGGTTGTTTTGGTAGAAAAATAGATGGCGATTCCTTGTTTGCCGGGTGGTTGAATCATCTACCAGGGAAACCCATCTATTTCCCCTAAAAGGACACCTATGTATACTTTGTTTTGGATGGCTTCGGATTTTAAACACACACCCATATCTGGGAACATATGAGCCATATTTCCCCTATGAGCCTATGAGGTATTTCCCCTATGAGCCCTTCCTTTTTTTCTTTTTTTCTTCCCTTTTTTTCTCTTCCTTTCTTTTTTGTGGTTTAATCATCTACCAGGGAAACCCATCTATTTCTCTAAAAGGACACCTATGTTTGGGGGTCGTTTTTTAGGGTACTTTGTTTTGGATGGCTTCGCTATTTTAAGACACAGCCATATTTGGGAACATATGAGCGATATTTCCCCTATGAGCCTATGAGTTATCTATTTCCCCTATGCGCCCTTCCTGTTTTTTTTGGTTCCTTCCTTTTTTCTTCTTCTGGTGGTTTAATCATCTACCAGGGAAACTCATCTATTTCCTAAAACGACAGCAAAGATTTTTTTTGGTACTTTGTTTTGGATGGCTTCGGATTTTAAACACACACCCATATTTGGAACATATGAGCCATATTTCCCCTATGAGCCTGTGAGCTATCTATTTTCCATATGAGCTCTTCCTTTTTTACCTTTTTTATTTTAATCATCTACCAGGGAAACCCATCTATTTCTCTAAAAGGACACCTATGTTTGGGCGTCGTTTTTTTAGGGTAGTTTGTTTAGGATGGCTTCGCTATTTTAAGACACACCCATATTTGGGAACATATGAGCCATATTTCCCCTATGAGCCTATGAGTTATCTATTTCCCCTATGAGCCCTTCCTGTTTTGGTTTTTTGTTTATATTGTTTTTGTTTGGTGGTGTAATCATCTACCAGGGAAACCCATCTATTTCCCCTAAAAGGACACCCATGTTTGGGGGTCCTTTTTTTAGGGTAGTTTGTTTTGGATGGCTTCGCTATTTTAAACACACACCCATATCTGGGAACATATGAGCCATATTTCCCCTATGAGCCTATGAGTTATCTATTTCCCCTACGAGCCCTTCCTCTTTTTACCTTTTTTTCTTTTAATCATCTTCCAGGGAAACCCAGCTATTTCTCTAAAAGGACACCTATGTTTGGGCGTCATTTTGTTGAGGGTAGTTTGTTTTGGATGGCTTCGCTATTTTAAGACACATATTTGGGAACACATGAGCCATATTTCCCCGTGAGCCTATGAGCTATCTGTTTCCCCTATGAGCCCTTCCTCTTTTTACCTTTTTTTCTTTTAATCATCTACCAGGGAAACCCATCTATTTCTCTAAAAGGACACCTATGTTTGGGCGTCGTTTTTTTAGGGTAGTTTGTTTTGGATGGCTTCGCTATTTTAAGACACACCCATACTTGTGAACATATGAGCCATATTTCCCCTATGAGCCTATGAGTTATTTATTTCCCCTATGAGCCCTTCCTTCTTTTTGGTTTGGTGGTTTAATCATCTACCAGGGAAACCCATCTATTTCCCCCAAAAGGAGACCTCTGAGCCCGCGACCCTTTCCGCCTCTCGACCGTCGGTGCAGGACCAGGCCGCGGAGCTGCGCGCAGAGCTGGAGCAGCTGCAGCCGCCGGAACGGACGAAGTCGGAGACTCAGGTGGCTCGAAATAGCCATGGTGGTTAAAACCGCTTTGGGATCCCATTTTGGGGTAGGTGCACCACCCATTTTAGAACCCATTTTAGCACGCGCCGGGTACATAGTTTTTGTGCATGTCCTCGGAGCTCATGCGTCTATTCTCGGGCAGTTTGACAAGAATGCATGTTTCTGGGGTTGTGGGACATTCTGGAAACTACCTCACGCTAGCTGAATCTCAGGTCGACATGTGCAGTTTTCGACCAAGTCAGTGCGGGGGGAGCAAGTATTTATATATATATATATCTATCTATCTATATATTCAGATGTACATATGTATATATAGGTTTGTGGGCATAACAGGTATCTATCCACATGATACTTCTGCGTCACATGCCCTTGGTGGCAAGGCCACCGGAGATCGCGACTGCCGTGAGCCCTGAGAGTGTGACCTCCGATCCTGGAGGCGCTGGCTCGCTCCAATCAAACCGGTCAGTGGCACGATCTCCCTGGGAACCATGTGTTCTTTTGAACAAGGAGACCGCACAAACATGAGCATTCTGGGGGTGCAGGGTCCATGAATTTTCCAAACCCGTGTGGAGATGGATATGTTGATATCAGAGACTAAACAAACTTGCTGGTGCGAGAGGTAGGGAATGAAGTTGATGTAGTTGAATGCACCCAGGCTTTGATCCCCTTAGAGGAAACCACCAGTTGGATGGTTTAGTTCGGCATTGCCTGCATCTCTCGCACCAGCAAGCAAACATCGGCATTCTGGGGGTCCAGGATCCATTAGTTTTCCAGTTCGTGTAGAGATGGATATATTTAATGTTCACACAGAGGGGTGCCATGCTCAAAAAGCGTGCTTTGGGTAGGTGGGACTGGCCACGAACCCCTCAATGAGGACTTCAAACAAAATCATGAACTTTCCCGGTTCTTTGACGTGGCTGCGAGTGTGTAGTGCTGCTCCCTTCTTGCATGCTGCATGCGTGCATGTGTCTTGTGTCTTGCATGCGTGGTGCAAAGCAACACATGAGCCGCAAACAACGTGCGAGCGAGTTGCCTACAGGAGTCAATGTTGCTGAATGGTTTCGCTTGAACATGGTGCTTGAAATTGCTGTCCAACCATCATGCATTCAAGCTTCTGTTGCACATTGTTGCTGGAAAGCGTAGCATGGGATTCGCTCAACGGAATATTTAATATTGTTTTGTCCCTTTTGGACATACCACCCAGACTTCAATTCGTGAAAGACCACACTCTTAGCCTCTCCAACGACGGTGCCTTCAGCTTGGCTAGGGCAATTTTGCCAAGCAAATCATGACCCTTCTGGAAAACCTGGCCACAACGGATTCTTGAAAGATGCAGGGCAGTGTTCGGGTGCGAGTACTCGCTGATGGATGCATTACGCGTCAAGTGGGCATTGGCTGTGTTGGTCAACAAAACGCCACTCCGATGTTTGTCCTTTGACTCGTGAACAAGCCAGTTCGTTGTCCATGAATTTGCCGGGCTTTTCACATTGGCGGACTCCCAGCAAGACATTCCGGGCAATTGGACACGGTTGGTCAAACTATGAACCCCCTTTGAAGGCGGCAAACACACAAACCATGGCCCCATAGTAATCAACCCCAGTTTATCAATAGGCGTTTCACTCTAAATGTGATGATTCCCCACAACCCAGGGACAGCACCATATTAATAAACTGGGGTTGATTAATATGGGGTCACCAGTATTTCAAACGGAAAAGAACAAGGTCTTTCCGGAGAGCCGCCCTATGCATAAACTGAGGTGAATTAATATGGGGTCAACCTTAACCCATGGCCCCAAAAAGGGGATTCCAATTTAGACAACCCTCTATGTGGCCACTTGCCAGGCTTGGAGGACAAGTCTCCCAAAAGCCCCCGGCGCCGCATGTCTCTCTTCGAGCGCCGGGCGAGTTTTGAGGCAGGAGCTGTGGAGATGTGGGAGATGTCAAAGGGGATGGTGTTGATCAATACTCCATTTGGGCATTTAGGGCCCCCCCCTTTTGGCCAAAAGTAACTTGTCCCACGTAGTTGTCTGAAATATCAAATCGTTTTTGTTGTTGTGGCCTAGAGGATGTTTTGATCAACCCATACGTCAGGCCTTGAACCTGCAGAAACCGCGCATTTTCCCAGGGTTTGGCCAGGTCTTTGAAGAGAAGGATCCCTGAAGAGAATGGGGAAGGTACAGCTAGAAGAAAGGTTCCAAGCGTTCAGGCTTGGAATGTCCTTGCTCGCTCAGGAGTTGGCGAAGAACGGCCACATCAACCCAGCAGCTTGAAGTTGAATCTGTCTGCTCTGGTTTCAGCCGGAAGCAAATCAAGAGCATATCCTGTTCTCAAGGCACATTGCCACAGGCAAGCCACTACGACATACCTTGTTAAACACTGAAATGGTTGTTGGCCAGTTGGAACCCTGGCAAATGCAGTTGACATGGACTAAACCCTGCGTTCCAATTGCTGGTGGTGACTAATTTTGACCCATACCCACATGGTGTTTCCTCGAGTTGTCCATCTCCGCTCAAGCAGAGCTTGGGTGATGGCACTCGGTAGCTTTTTCGATCTCGCTTAGGAGCTGATGCAGCAGCTGCTTCACGAGCAAGGCCAGGTGCGTTGATCGAGAGGAACACTCTCTGTTCCAAAAAGTAGAATAATAGATGGATAGATTGATAGATGGATAGATTAAGATAGATTGATAGATGGATAGAATAATAGATGGATTCTTCATTTGTAACATTTGGATAGATGGATGCTTGAAGCCAACGGAACCTGATCATAAACAGCGAGCTTGTGCTGGTTGGACACCCAAGTGGCTTCAAAGTGACTCGCTCGATGTTGCGGTTTTCAGATCGACAGGCGAGACGATTCAGATTCAGCAGCAGTTGGCCTCCATTGAGGAGCTTGCGCAGTCAGAAGGTGAGTCCGTTTGGTCAAGGGGCCAGAAGATTCTGGTAAAGACGTGAGTCTGTCGTACTTCCTTTGCACGTGCTTGCAGTGGCTGATCTTCAGAGATCATGTCAGGGCCGCTTGCTCTGGCTTTTGACCTGGCCTGGGCACATTGGCCTTTTGCGGGTCACATGGGTATGTCAAACTTAAACCACCAGCATATGGACCGCAGGTTTTGGTCCATATGTCCACTTCCCGATCGGGCTCCATTTTGGGGTTGCCATGTTTTTGACGACCACAAGGACTTGATCAAGGTGATCCGCAGCAAGGGGGGCGACATCACGGCAAGCGAAAAGCAGAAGATCAAGGACTGGGGCAGACGCGGGCTGATCTTGAGCATGCTCAACATGGGTGTCCTTTTGGGTGGGTTTGGTAGAAAAATAGATGGTGATTCCTGGTTTGCCGGCTGGTTTAATCATCTACCAGGGAAACCCATCTATTTCCACTAAAAGGACACCAATGATGTTCAATGTACCAGCCTCATCGCGGCAGACCATTCAAGAACAGTGCGCAGTGCGCATGTTGTGTGAGATTCACTGATCTGGGCGAGACATTTGCCGACTCGATATTTTCCGATCACATCCAAAGGATGGAAAGCAGGGGCTGATGCTTTGTTCGTTTCTTCCAAGCAGTCGTGCATGGCAGGCGATTTATAGGAGTCAGAAAAGGGCCCCCCTAGTCAGTCTCCTTTGAACCAAAGTGAACCTTCCCCTCCATGGATTTGAGAATTCAGGAGTACCATATCAAATTCCACATAACTGCTCAATGTAAAATGATGGCCACCAAAGAAGCCCAACCAAAAACAGTTCATCTTGCTGGTGCGACAGGTAGGGAAGGATCTTCCGGGTGTTGGGAATGAACCGTTTGGGGATTCTCCTTAAGGAAACCAGCAGTTGGATGGTGTATCAATTCTCACTCCTTATCGAACCAGCAAGCTTCAGGACATGTTCGGCAAGGCTGAGATTAAGAACGTCGAGCAGCTCTCGCAGGTGGCCGCGCCGCGTCGCAGTGAGAGAGTTTGATGACACGGCTCACGTTACGTCGCGTTTCGAGATGGGGGAGTTGATCAATATTCCATGTAGGTATGTATGTAAAGGACCTCTTGATTAGCCCCCGTATTTGTTTGGGAGGTAAGCGTCGTATTTGTTGTGGCCACTTGTCCCACGACATGAACACAGCAAGTATCCAACTGACGTGAGCGCAGGTTTAAGTCCTAGCTTCGTAAGCGACAACTTTCGTGAGGCTCAGGAACTGAAGGATGAGAGGAAGAAGATCAAAGAGTTGGAGCAACAGGCAGGGCGAATGCCACGCGCGGCGTTTGGGATCTTTTCGGAGTGCCCTGGATGCTTCACGTAGGCCGTGTCACTGGGCACTGGGAACCAGCTGTGTCAGCCCCAAGGTTTCAGATTTTGACAGTGCCCAAATGAGCCACGTCCTCAAAACCCTGGGTAGATGAAGGTTAGCATTGGATGCTCCCAGACATGAACAGCTGCGGATCTCCGGCTTCTTAATTCTTGAAGCATGGTTCTGGACCATTTTAATACCGGGTTTTGATGACTCAAATGGGTTGCCCACCCTCCCGGGAAAGTTCTCCGAGGTGGTGGAGCGGCGCTCAGAGTGGAGCAGCATCGAGGGGGTCTCAAAGGCGCTGAAGGGCCTGGCAGAAGGCGCCGGGAGCGTTTCTGCGCCAAAGAAAGCCGCGGCTTTCGTCCTGTTGGCCGTGGGTCAAAACCGTTTTGGTACCATTTTGGGGTAGGTGCACCACCCATTGTAGTCTACTTTAGTGGGGATTGGGATGTTCACTGGGGGTACGGGATCTTGACCGATAGCCTGTTGAACGATGGGGATCGGAGTAGGGTTATGTTGGTAGAGCCATAAGTCAATGGGTTTCGGGCGCTGCGCAATTGTTTTGGGCCAAGGATCTTTCAAAGGAGGGTACTTTTTTGAATCTGGTGGACATTCCAAAACTGCTTGAGTGCTCTTCGGTCAAACAATCCAACTTGATCATATGCCGAGCTGCGTGCCAGCATCTGAGCCAGGCAATCTCAACCACGCTGACATCCTGAAGAAGGCGCGGGCGGGTTGGCTCGTCTCTGCGTGGGCTGCAAACCTGGATCCGTAGCGAGAAAATGACCCCCGTCAGTGAAGCATCTCAGCATTGCCTCCTGTTTCGTCACAGGCCGTGTCAACTCCCCAGCAAAAGGATTTTCTTTCACGGCTCTTGGGACTCTTTCATGGACTGGTCGAGCTCAGTCGCATTGTATTTGCCTCCAGTCCGAGGTGCGTGCAGTGAACGCGGCGCACTTGCGAACTGGCCTTGCAGAGACAGGCTTCATCCTGAGTTGGCTTGCCCAAAGTCTTTTGGCTTGCCAAAAGTCTTTTGGGCGTGGTCGCAAGGGCACATAACTTGAGGCCTTGAATCCATGCGAGCCCCAACCTCTTCGGTATACATGTATATATATATATACATACACCGTCCAGAGATGCAAGAGGTGTGTTTACTAGGCATTTTTCAATGCAATGACTTTGCGGCTTGCAACAAAGGCTTTGGAATTTGCTCTGGGGCACTTCTGCAAGTATGTATTGGATGCTGACAATGACATACCGCTGAGGTTCGACCAACAACTCAGAGATGGCCACGCTACAGGCAGCGATTGGCAGTTGAGGATCCAACTCTTGGGCAGATTGGCACATCCAGTGTTGTTTGAAGTTGAAGAGAAAGGAGAAGAAGTAGTAGCAGTAGAAGAAGAAGAAGACGAAGAAGCAGAAGAAGAAGAAGCAGAAGAAGAAGGAGAAGAAGAAGAAGAATAAACAAAAAAAAAAGAAGCAGAAAGAGAGTCTTTGGGACGCGGATTCGTGGTGGAAGTTTGTCTGTGCCCCATGTAGCAGCTGTGAGTGCCGTGTGTTTTAGGGTTACACTCGAACACTCGAGGCTGCTGCTGCCATGGCTCGAAGTGATCCCAGGCCTGCGACGCGTCGGGCCGTTTGGTGTACCGGGGCTTCTCTTGTTTTTTGGACCCTCTTGAAGGATTTTTTTCGACTTTTTGTTTTAAGTGGGGGGCATTTCTTTTTGGGATTTTCCGGGACACGTCCAGGTCCAGGCTTGCCCGTTCTGAGGCGCCGGAAATCCGAGCAGATGCTGCCCGCTGGGTGGGGACCTGTGGCGACCGACCGCCCAGCCTCCGGGCCATCGCCGGCGGGGCCAGCGGGGCCGGCGACGCAGCTGGACAGCCCACGCCGCAGGCGGGCCTGGCGTTCTTGAAGGTGGACCAGGTAGACCATTTTGGGGGTCTATTTGACACACCCCTTTTCCGGGTAAAGGCCAAAAGGACCATTTTGGGGGTCGATTTTTTAAGACACACCCCCTTTTGTTGGGGATGGGTGTAAATTCAGCCAGCATACAGGCTTTAGTCTTTGCTTCCCCTCACCGATCGGGCAACCAATTTTTAAGGGTTGCGTGATGTTTTACCCGCAGCCCATATGCACAACTCGTTGAGGTTGAGAGTTGCTGCCTTCCAGCTGTTCCGTTTGGCAGGACCAGCTTTGAGGACCTCCTCGGCCCGCGTAGAAGCCTGCTGATGAGCCCTGCGCTTTCAGGCAGAGTGGGGTCAAAATGTCCCAATCTGAGACCAATCTGAGACCAATCTGAGACCACTGAAAAAAAACATTGTGATTCTGTGGGGAAGGAAGCAAAAACAGCTTGGGCTCCGAGTGGACGCAAGCCTGGACGTCAACCTTGATCGCTTGCCTTACGCTTCACCCTTCGGGAGAAATGTGTGCTAGGGGTCCAAGTCATGGTCATTTGGGGGGCCGAACGGAATATTGATCAACCCCCATATGATATAAGGGTCCACGAAATTCTTGACAGGCTTTACGAGCAAGAGCGGCTCCCACATCGAAGTGGACGAGCTGATGACCCCCTCTCCGCAGCCACGATCCTTGAAACGAGGCAGGAGCAAGGCAGCTTTGCGCATAGCGCGCAGCAGAAGCTTGGTCTCGTTTCCATGCGCGGTCCTTGGAAGCGGCAAGGAGCTCTGATTAGCAGTTCCATGGTTTTGCAAGTGATCAAGCGAATGCAGCGACTGTCGAAATCCAGGTTCGCGTCCCGCTATGTTGCTGCCATTGGATTTCACACGCTGTGATAGGAGCTGGAACGGTCATTTCTTTCTGCACGCAAATGGTTGTGGCTCCAAATTAAAGAGCTGGGGTTACGCAGGTTGTAGTCTTTGGTTCCATTTAACAAGGTGCCATTTTTGTACATGCTTTTGACCCACAGCCAAGTCACAACAATGATTTGCTTGTAGAAGCATACCCACATGTTACTTCTTTGCCGAGACCGGGAAAACGACCGAAGTGCTTCCGGAGATTGTGAGCTGCTGCCTTCGTGGGCTGACAGCACTTGAACCCCAAGGCTTTTGCCCTGTGAAAAGACTTCTGACAGCCCGATTGGGGGCAGAAGAGAAGAGCTTAGAAAGGCTTTGTCATGCAGCGTTAAAAAGCAACAAAAAACGCGTGCTGTGCGTGCGATTGTTGGTGTCACTCCATCTACTCTTGTTGAATATGGATGGGCTTCTCAGAACGGAAGGTGCTAGAACTCAGTGTTTGGGCAAATGCGCAAATACTCGGCCACATCCTTGCCACGATCGTCGACTGGTATATGAAAGTGGTGCACCATGCTGTTGGCCGTGCCAGGCCCCTCGTTGAACACCATCGAAGGCTTTCCCGGGGAGGCCTGCGCCGTCGCCATGTTTCTGCGCCATTTGGGACGCGGAGATGCGTGCATGCACTTTGATGTTTTCAACAAAATTAGCCCGGGACGTAACGGAGGCGTAAATACCTGTGAGTTGGCTCATTTGCTTGAAACGTTGATGGTGTTGACCTGGACATTTCGCGACTTCGTTTAACGCCCCCGGGCGTTCAACTTGCATACGACGCGCTAGGTCCCCATGCAAGCCGTGGTGAATAGCCGGCGTCGCCACAGCCTCACCACAGGCCAGAGATGGGTTACCCTTTCAAGGGCTTGGGGTTGCCTAGAGCTTCCCTTTTTCCTAGAAAATATGTTGGATGCGCTTTTTGTGGATTTCACCTGTTGATTACCCCTTGCAGGTGCTTTTTTAGTACTATTTTTGGTACTCTTTTAGTATCCTACAGGGGTGGATCCACAAAAACCGCATCCAAATCGTTTGCCAGATTTTTAGACCTTTGTCAAAGGGAAGAAACTGATCCAAGAAGCCAACGGCTCTTTGACCAAATTCGCGATGAGTGATTGTCCATCCCTTATATTGACCTGGCTTGTTTTGGAGGGCATCCAGCCGTTGAATGTCAGACATCTTGCACTAGGCGTGCTTGTATTCATGTCTATATGATATGCATGCACAGGGCGAAAAGCGCCCCCTGAGTGTCAGGTTTCAACACTGATCACTTAGGGGCTTGTAAGCGAGAAAGATGCAAAGATGTGTACAGAGCGCATACGGAGGCATGGCTGCCACGCGCTCCGTGATGGAGTCACCCCGACGGTTGGCCGGAAGGCTCAGAGATGACAAGACCCACTGGATATGTGGGGGGGTTCATGAATTTTCTGGCCCCCGAATGACTGGCTTAATTTCCCATTTAGTGCTAAATATCACACTTTTTGGTTTGGGTGACTTTTCCCATTCAGTGGTAAAATATCACAGTTGTTTGTGGTTTGCCTCAATGGTCGTAAAGAACCTTTCATCAACCCCCACGTGTCAAAGGATGGATTTTGGACCCCCCGAAATGCTGAGTTTCCCGTTTTTTGGCTTCTCTTGAATGTAGCACCGTCAAGAACATTAAGAACATGTCGGTTTTCCCTGGCCACTGGGTACCCGGAAGCGACTGGATCCACTAGCAGGCAACTGTGAGTGGGGAGCTCCGAACGAGTTGCGCTTCGCTTGAGTTGAAAGTGATGTGGGAAGGCCTGAAGGCTCGTTCGTTACGCACCCGCGAGCGACGAGCTAACCCAAGCGACGAGTTGACAGATCGGCCATGGCTCGCTCAATTGCTCGCTGAGCAGCGGGGCCCTTCGATTCGCTAAGGCGATGTCTGGAGAGGCCGGAGCTTTGAGTTGCGCTCAGAGCCACCGCATTGATTCAACTGGCTCAAGCCGAAGCTGGAGAAGGGAGATTAGCCGAAGCTGGAGAAGGGAGATTGTAAGCTTCTTTTGCAGACACCTCTTGCGAATTTGCACCTGAGAAGTTGACGCGTGCAGATCTAGGTTGCATTTGATGCAGATCCAGCTTTCAACTTGCGCAGGAGCAGCGCGCCCCGCGCCACGCAGCTGCAACGGAAATGGCGCGATGGTTTGGCTTCGCTCGGTCATGAGTTTGAAGGAAACGTTTGACGTTGACCTTTGACGTTGGCCTGGCTTTCCGGGCTCCAGTGGCCAGCGCCAAGGCAGCCTCGTCGGCACGCTCGGGTTGTCGCCGCGAAGGTTCAGCGTAGCTGCTTGGACGCCTTGGAAGCCGTGGGATGCCAACCCGGGGCCCACTTTATCGTTTGGCACTTCCTTGGCTCAACTTTGCTTCCAATGACCTACCCCAACGCGTTCCTAGTATGATAGAGTTGCCAGTGAGAAAACAAAGCAATCGACCGCGATGCCATCCGCTTTTCTGCAGGATCAGGTGCTTGCGGCATTTTGACCCAGGATATGTGTCAGATACACAAAGGAAGAAAGGTCAAACGCGAGACGTGCAAACTTCCCCAGGATTAGCTCTCCTTTTTGTGTTTTGCGCTTTTTTGGGGTTCCCTTTGTTTTCCACGGGCAAAAAAAACCTCTTTTTTTGCTGGGGTCCGACTTCCAGCCAAGCAAAGAACTAGTTGGCGAGGAGTCCTTTTCACCCAAGCCCAGGCTTGAGATGCGGCTCTCGGCGGGGGCCCGAGTTTTACCAACGACGCGTTTGTATCCAAAGCGGATGAACCAATGGCAGTGGGTCAAAAATATGTACCTAAAATGGGAACCCAGGTAAATGGAAAAATGGATTAAACCTGTGGTCCCATGGTGGTTTAATTTTGACCCACAGCCAAATGGCTGGAATCTTTTTGGCTTGCCCAAGCCAGGTTTTCCAACAGGGGCATAAAGGGCAAGCCCATATATGTTCTAGGGACGCCTAGCGAAATCTGGAGGCTTTTGTGTGGGAGGGTTCAAGTAGATAGCTTTCCTTCTAGTGGCATCTGTGGTGCTGGGAGCTTTCGACCCTTTGACAAGGTCATGCAGCGAGTGGCAATAGATCAATAGATGCGTTCATGCTCTTTGCAACAGAACAGATGGTCCTGGCAGGCATTTGGCCCTCTCCTGATTGTTGCGCGACACAGCTCAAGAGCTTTTTGAGGTGCATCATGAGACTGGGTTGTTCATCCGTCGCTTTCAGACCGCCAGGTTTGATCCATAATCTGAAGCCACAGCTTTGCCCAACGAAGCTCACCAGCCGATCGAGCCCATGCATGAACAAACACGAGGCCTTTCCCGTGTGCCAAAGCCGAGGTGCAGACCTGCAGGAGTTGCCAGCAGTCACCGTCGAAGATGGGATTGCATAGCAAGGATTCAGACATCTCAGAGCCAAGAAGAATAGCAAATGCCTAGCTGAAGTATGTGCTACTTAGTGTAGCGGCAACATGTCGTTTTGAGGTTCTTTGCTACTACTGCTGGCAATGCGTATTTTGATATGTTTGTCCTCCAGAGTTCAGAGATGTGTGCTTCCTTGACAGCGGCAGCAGAGCGACTTTGAACGCGATGTGTGATGAATGACGTTAATTGAACATGCATTTCCCCATCACTCCGCCTGCCGTGCGTTAGGTACATAGTCAAAGTGCGGACCTTCAGCGGTTGCTAAGCGACGTTTCAGTCCTGACACGAGCAAAAAACCTCTGACGGCCGCACAGCTGCCAGTTGCGGTGCAAGCACCGCCAGGCGGACGCAGGCAGCCTGAAACCTAAGGCGCCACGGTGAAAAGCGGACTTTGGGAACCGGATTTGCGTTTGCTTTCTGGGCTATTCTAGGGGTTGATTCCCCATTCTCAACCATGGTTCTTTTCAAAAACCGGATCCGTTTTCTCTGAAATTCCGGAGGTTTTCTAGAAAGATCCGGATCCCTGGAAAGAATGGGGAAGGTACTGCTAGAGCTATGAGTGACGACGTGGAACTGCTTCTCGGAGATGGCTCCCAGAGATGACCGCAAATGCCAGCATGAGATAAGTAGGCACACCAGTGATGACGTCAACACGGAGGACAAGCAGCAGCAAGTAGTTCCGAATCAAAGTCTTGCAGACCTGAAACAGACCCATCGGCTCTCGGAAAGACACCGGCAAGATGGGCGCAAAGGCGCGTGTATGTGGGCGGACAGAGCTTGGCCAAGCTTTTTTGCTTGGTATTATTTTCAGGTGTTTTCTTGGCTTGTCGGTCTTCCTTGTGTTTTTGTGTCCTGTGATGCTGGGATCCTCGAATCGAGATCTGATGCAGGCAGTTTTGAGCGACACACCCAACACGAGCCTTGTCGGATGACATGTTGCCGCGGGAATGCGTGCAGTGTTGGGTCTGAGAGAGGAAGGTATGCTTGCCTGGCTCGAAAAATGAAAGTCGCCGTCTATGAAGGGTTGAGGATGATATTGACAACTATATAATTTCGAAGCCAGCATTGTCCCTAGGAAAGTACAAATTTCGCAAGATGTGCGCCTTACCTTTGCACAGGCCTCTGCTCATGCGGATGCAGAGGTCTTCACTCTCGAGAAGCTGGCTGGGTGCATATTATAAGCTGCATCTGCAAAAGGGGGGCATGAAGCTCTTTTCAATTGAAACCTGCCGGTTTTCGTGCGAGCGGGGCACTCGATGATAGTAGCCTGTTATTTGTTGGGTCCGCGGCAGTTTTGAGACAAGCTCTTTTTTTTCCACTCACATCTTCCAGCGAGAACGCCCAGCTGTTGACCAGGCACAGTTTGACGGCAGAGCTCTCCCTTCATACATCGGAATTCTCGGCAAGGCCAGAATTGCAACGTGACGAGTCGAAAATTTGAAATGCACAACACGTGCAGTATCATGCCCTGTCAAAGTCAAACATTTGCTTCATTTGTAGAAGGCGCCGCTGTTGTTTGCATTACGTTGCGAGATTTGCGTGTCTGTAGGTGTATGACGTGAGCGAGTCGAGCAACTTTGCAGCGGGAGGAGGCAATGCATGTCACTTGTTTGGAGCTTGCGAGCGACGCCTTCAAGTGGACGTCAAGGGGGTGGGGTGGTGGGGGTGGCGGGGTGGGGGGTAACAGCGCCATCGGACGCAGCGCGACCGCGCTCCGCAGTCGCCCTTTCTTGTCGCGTTGACCACGCCAGCGCAGCGTTGCTTCCATTTTACCCAACTCACGGACAGCGTTTGTTGTGTTTCGGCCAGTAGCGTTTCGTGCTCATGTTTTTGGAGAGCATGATTCGCGAGCGAGGAGCGCATTGTACGCAGCGCTGGCGTGCCCCAATCTTTTCTGCGCACGATCCGGAGAGACCTAACCCTAGCTGCGGCCAGTAGCAGTAGCAGGTCGTGCTCACGACACGTCGCAAGCAGCGCAACCGCGCTCCGCATTCGCCCTTTTCGCCCAACTCATGGATAGCGCTGCAAGCAGCGCAATCGTGCTCCGCATTCGCCCTTGCTTGTCGCGTGAATCGCACCTTCGTGGTGCTTCTTCTTCACCCGAACCAATGCCGCATGGCAATGTGACAAAAACCCTTCTCTGTCATTGTTGGAACATGGGACTGAGGCTGTGGATGAGTTGGTCAGAATGCAAATCTGCGGCCCTGAAACATCAACCGCTTGGGCTCACACGCACAAAGGGCAAGACCTGCTCTCTAGTTCTGTTTGAGCCAGACTTCACTGGCAATCTGTTACATTCTCCATAGGCAAGGCTACGTTGACGTTAGAGACGGGCAGTTTGCATGCCGATATGGCCATGAATCTTGGTAGGGAACCACCACATCAGTGATTGGTGGACATGAATCCCCACCGAACTTTAATGTCCACCAAAGGGCCCCTTATTGAAATTCACACCTGTATGTCCGCTGTGGGTCAATAACGGGCACCCAAAATGGGTTGCCCTGGTAAATGGAGCCAACGACTAAACCTGCGGTCTGGTGGTTTAGGTTTGACCCATACCCACATGAGTGACAATCAACACCTGGGTAGATGAAGGTTAGTAAGGGGCAGTCCCAGCCAGAAATAGTTTCGGCCGCCTTCTTAATTCTTTACATGCTTCTGGGCTTACGACCATTTCTTTGCGAGGCTATGGAGACCTATGGGCCGGCAGTGATGCCAGCTACGCTTTGGCCACCCTGTCCCTGGAGAAAGAGGACGCCAACAGGCTCCCTCGTCGCCGTTCTCGCGCGGGGCGCGCGCCTTCAGTGCTTGCGGGATCCAGCTTTTAGTGTTGAACACCGGTGGCCCGTTATTAAACGAAAAATGGAACCACTGACATGGAGAGATGCCAGTTCTCACATTTGCGAGGGCCAGAGGCAATGTAAGCATTGCTCGGGAAACTGCCAGATTGGACTGGGAGATGAGCCAGTTCAATCCACAGCAGCTGAAGGCGCTAGCCGCATGGCCAGCTTCCCAGCGATTTTTTGGCACGATGTATTCAGAATTCATCATTTTGGCACGTGGTTTGTCAGCTCCCACTACGCTGGCACTGAATTGGGAATCAGACAACCCCCCCACAGGCTGCCAAGATTAGAGCCTTCCAAGGTTCTTATGCCGTGTTTCACAGCAGACCCCATGCCGCATGCAGGAAGTTGACGGATTTTCCGGCATCGGGCCTAGGAAGTCCTACTTTGACCAGAAGTATCCGGTGGTTGGAGTGCTCAAAGAGTACGAAGGCGATCTGGGTCGAGCTCTGCTTTGCCGCGACCAGCAGGAATGACTCGGGGCCGGTACTCGCCAGTTTGTAATATAAATGGAGTACAACATATTAAGATCAACACTGTGGCTAGGGATCACTTGTTCACCTTGAGGCAATACCATAACCTTCCCAAGAAGCTTGTTGGCCATTTCTGTTGCACCCTTGGTGACCGTGAAAAGTCAAGGCTCAAAGGCACCAGACCCTTTCATTGGCGAGCCATGGCTAGAGGTTGGTCGTTCGGGGATTCGAAGCTTTGGCGCTTTCGGTTTCCCTTAACAACCGACTCCAAGATCCGTGTTCCGAATTCCGCCGGGATAAAACGAACACGATGAGATGCAGGTCCTTCGCTTGGGGATCCCTTGGTCTACGGTGGTCGACGGTTGTTGGCGTTCATGTTTTTCGGCTTCTTGGCCACCCCCCAAACTCCCTAAAGATCGCGCACTCAGTGCTCGGAGGTTCGGATTCGTTTAAGTTTGCAGATCAACTGCTCATGTGAGTCACAATCAAAACCTGGGCAACTGGAGGGTAGTAGGGGACAATCCCAGCTATAGATGGATGCGGCCGCCTGTTCAATTCTTTGCATGGTGGGTAGACCATTCTAATACCAGGATTTGATTCTGACTCATGTCAGCGGTTTGCTCAATCTTGACCAGGACCAATGAACCCTCCCACTATTAGAGGGGTTGTTCCCTCCAAAATTGGTCTGAATCCAAAGTGACAAGGAATTGGACATCCCATCAACATCACTCAGGGGTTTAATAGTCTGCCCCACACGAAAAGCGGAAAAACAAGAGAGAAACACATCCCAAAATATATCCGCACCCTTATTCATCTGGGCTAAACAAAATATGGCCATGGGGCATATCCTATGGCGAGCCATTTTGGGGTGGATGAACATCCATTTGCCACCTATTTTGATGTTCACCAGGGGTACCATTGGTTTTGACCACCACCAGCCATATGATTCACATCAGCCGGGCCGGTCGGTCCCACCAGACGCGCGCGCGCGCGCGCCGCCTTGGCAGGCCGCGACATGGAGCTGCCGGAGGCCGCGCCTGGGCCTCGGCTCGAGGCGGAAGTCCGCCTGCCGCGTGGTGTCCTTCGACCTTCGAGGTCTCCGTGTTTTTTTTGTTTTTCGTTTTTGTCTCGTTTTTCTCCGGGGAGCCAGGGTGAAACAAAACACCCACTTTCAGGGGCCATTTGGGTGTTTTTTTAAGGGGAACCAGGTTGAACATGCCGATTGAGAGGGGCCAGTATGCAGCTACTGGGCGTCTGGATGTGGCAGAGGGCATGAGAACTTGATGCCCACAGGCGAAGTGGGTCTTGCAAGGCGAGAGATCGTGGGTCACAGTCCAAAGACAAATCGATTTCACATCACAACTTGCCCAACAGCTTCGGCTCAAATCGCCTCGTTCACCCATTTTCCTCGCCGTAGATATGTACCAGGAGGGTCAGGTAGTGCAAGCGCAAGTGGTTCAGGCAGGGTCTTTTGCATTGTCGATCTCTCGTTTGACACCCGCCTGGAGACAGCCTCATTCGTGCATGCGGTTGCTGAGCTTTGCAGTATCAGCCTGTATCAGCCTATATCAGCTTCTTATTCCCTAGAGTTCCCCCCGATGTGGCGCTTGCCCAACAACTTCTAGCCAAAAGAACGACATCCTTGTGCCACCAGTAGGGGTGCTGGCGGCCAGGCGACAGTGG